ACTAAAAAGTCCTATAACAACACATGGAGCATTTAAAGAAAAAGTGCTGAATCTCAGTAAGAACAGTGGGCTTTCTGGTGATTTAACTTGCCTTGTACTCCTCCTCTCAGCTCCATAGTAGCTTCCAAAGCTATCAGTCTCATAACTACAGTAACTGTGAAAACTGCAGGCAGATCAGGTTTGCAGCTCCTCAAAACCTTCCTACCCAAAGCATTTTCTTATCTGGCAGCCTCCTGGAAAAACCCATCTGGAGGACTTATTTGACTTGACTAGTTAGCTTAGTGGGGAAAGTCCTTATCCCAGTTTTTTTGGAAACAATCAGTGGCACCTGTTTAACACAGCTAACCTCACTGCTGCCTCAGGCTACAATACCATTTAGGGTAAAGGAGATTGGTCAAAAAGGTAAAAAGAAGATACAGGCAGGCAGTGGCTCATCCTTATAATACTAAGCACTTTGGGAGGCTGAGGCAGGAAGATTCCTTGCGGCAGGAGTTCAAGACAAGCCTGAACAACATAGCAAGACCTGCCTCTGTAAAAAAATACAAAATTTAGCTTGACAGAGTTATGTGCGTATAGTCCTAGTTATTTCCGAGGCTGAAGCAGAAGGATCACTTGAGCCCAGGAGTGTGTGGTTGCAGTGAGCTATGACTGCATTCCAGCCCAGGCAACAGAGTGAAACTCCGTCTTTGAAAAGAAAAAAAGGAAAGTGGCTGGGTGCTCACATTTGTAATCCTAGCACTGTGGGAGGCTAACTAAGGTAGATTGCTGGAGCTCAGGATTTTGAGACCAGCCTGGCAAGAGTGAGACCCTGCCCATCTCCACAAAATATAGAAAAATTAGCTGGGCATGGTGGTGCACACCTATAGTCCCAGCTTCTTGGAAGGCTGAGCAGGAGGATCACTTGAGGTTGTACTCTAGCCAGGATGAGAGCAAGACCCTATCTCAAAAATGAACAAATATAAACAAAGCAAACCAAAAAACAATGAAAAAGAAAGATATCTCATTGTTTATCTCTCCACTGAATATTTACAGATTAGACTAGAAAGCTTCTGGGCCTAAATAATGAGAAAAAAGCATTTATATAATGAAAATTATATAAATTATATATGTATATATTTACATATTTATTTATGTATATATAAAAACTCCTAATTACTATCCAAAGTTAACCCTTGAACAACATGATTTTGAACTTCTGCCTCTGGCACCCCTGAGCCAGCAAGACCAACCATTATTCTTCTTCCTTCTCAGCCTATTCAATCTGAAGACAGTGAGGATGAAGACCTTTATGATGATACACTTCTACTCAACGAACAGTAAATTTATTTTCTCTTTCTATAGATTTTCTTACTAATATTTTCTTTTCTCTAGCTTATTTTACTGTAAGAAAACTATCACACGTGTAATCCTAGCACTCTGGGAGGTCAAAGCATGTGGATTGCCTGAGCTCACAGGTTTGAGACCAGCCTGAGCAAGAGTAAGACCCCATCTCTAAAAATAGCTGGGCATTGTGTGGGCACCTATAGCCCCAGCTACTGAGACAAGAGAATCACTTGTTTGAGGTTGCTGTGAGCTGTGACGCCACAGCACTCTACCACAGGCAACAAAGAGAGACTTGGTCTCACAAAAAAGAAAACTGTATATAGTATATACAGCATATAAAATATGTGTTAACCAATAGTTTATGTTATATAAGGCTTCTGGTTAACAGTAGGGTATTTTGGGGGAGTCAGAAGTTACATGCAAATTTTCAGCCATGCAGGGGATTGAAAATGGTCAATGGTTGTTCAATGGTCAACTGTGTTCAATAAAAAGCACTGTCAGAATTACACTTCTGTATCACTCCATAGGATAATGTCATGTAAATCACTTCAATAAAAAAAAAATCTCTAATTAAAAAATACCTGAAAATTAGTTTCTTTCCATCCAGGTTTCTTGGCCAGCATTCTCACTAATGCCTGGCATGGCATTTCAGTTCGGTCCATTAGTTCAACAGCCTTAAATGTAAAACGGGAGAATAAGAGAGTTAAAGGGTTAAAGATGAATTCCAAAGCAAAGTCAGGTAAGTGGTTACCTCTGAAGGACTCAGTAGGGTTAGAGAGGGAACTTATATAGTTTCTGTTATAATGCTTTATTTCTTTGTGTGTCCATGTATCTATAACGCTTTATTTCTCAAGCTTTGTATATGGCTTTTATATTAATATCACTGAAACACTTTTAGTTCACATTGCAAGAATTCACAAATGATTTTCTCTAGGTAAAGTAACAGTTAATAGTTTGTTTGCCTAGTATGTGGCAGAAACCACTTAAAACATGATTTCTCTTACTTGATTTTCGTAAAAATATAGTGAAGTAGAGTAGATTAGAAGCTGCAGAGTATTTAATTTCAAAGATGCACACACTCAGGGCTAAACCTGATGATCAGCAGATGCAGGACTGAAAGGCGCCTGCTTCTCAGTGCTCTTTCAGCTTCTCCACACCCCTCTTCATTATAATCACACAGCATATGTCAAAATGAGCTGTCATGCTTCTTTCCAATGCAGGTTTTCTAGAGCTTTTCATACCAAGGGATAATGTCTATTCTACCAAGGAATCATGATGACAAAGGGGGAGACACACAAATGGGTAAGGGATGGCTTAAGTGGAGAGACCCACTTGCTTCTTAAGTTTATGTCATAATATAATTTAAAAACTAAGGTAAGCCTTATAACTCAAAATAAGAACCTAATATTCTTGAATAAGTATTAAATTATGAGCTTACAGAAGCCATAAAATCCAGATGTTGAAAGATAACACCTACAAAAACCAAACAAAAAATCCTACCTCATCTTTAGTTAACACCAAGAAACATGTTCACTGGTTATAAACCACAGCAATTAGGACAAATACTTCATTTGTCAATTTCATTACTTCCATATAATCTAATTTTCCTCCCTATGCACTTACCTTTTGGAATTCTTCCATACAGGCCAGCCTTTCCTTCCAGTTACTGCTATCTAGAAGCTGTATACAGGTAGGGGGAAGGACAGCTGAAGCTTTTTCTTCACATACTTCTATCTGTAAAACCCAGAACATATTAAAATTAGACATTGCTTAAGGTAACAGACTGCAAGCTTATAAATATACCCTAGCCAAAACTAAATGAATACTCCCATAGGTAGGCGATAGTATCTGAGGCTGCTGTTATACCACCATGAAGAAGTGTTTCCACAGCAGTTTAAGTAAGCTAAAAGCTACCTATTAACCATACATTGTAGAACCTAGCAGAGAAAGAACTCGAATATTCTATCAGGTTTCCTTTTCCACAGTTTTGTGAGTTTGAGGCACTGTGTGTCATACTCACTGAGAGCTCAGGCTCCACTATTTCTTTGGTTTCCAATGCTTTCTTGTTCTTGGTTCCAATACTTCCCATACCTCCTGGTGCAGTTGCTTTCCCCTTCTTAGGTGGTCCACCAGCCTAAAAAGGATTTAAAAAATAAAATAAAACTACTTAAGGATTTAAAACAGTGTTTTTTTAGAGACAAAGTCTCACTGCATTGCCCTCGGTAGAGTGCCGTGGCGTCACAGCTCACAGAAACCTCAAACTCTTGGGCTTAGGCGATTCTCTTGCTTCAGTCTCCTGAGCAACTGGGACTACAGGCTCCTACCACAAAACCCAACTGTTTTTTTGTTGCAGTTTGGCCAGGGTCGGGTTGGAACCTGCCACCCTTGGTATATGGGGCCAGTGCCCTACCCACTGAGTTACAGGCACCACCCTTAAAACAGTGGTTTTTAAAAACACTTTTGGGTCACAACTTAAAAATTTGATTAAAATGAGGGATCACGGCTCGGCACCTGTGGCTCAAGCAGCTAAGGCGCCAGCCACGTACACCTAAGGTGGCGGGTTCGAATCCCCAGCCCGGGCCCGCCAAACAACAATGATGGCTGCAACCAAAAAATAGCCAGGCATTGTGGCAGGTGCCTGTAGTCCCAGCTACTTGGGAGGCTGAGGCAGGAGACTCGCTTGAGCCCAGGAGTTAGAGGTTGCTGTGAGCGTGATGCCACGGCACTCTACCCAGGGGGATAGCTTGAGGCTCCGTCTCAAAAAAAAAAATGAGGGATCACTTAAAAAATAAACATATTTTTTGTGTGTACAAATAAGGCACAGTTTCAAGGTAAGATGGAACCCCTGAAGACCACCCATGGGCCAATTTACAGACCCATATTAAAAACCTTTGATTCGGAATAAGCTAAGGAGAAATGAAACAAAAGTGATGAATTTAAATTACACTACATTTACAAATTAATTTGAGAATGACATGCCTGATGCTTTTAAAAGTCTCTAAATCTTTCCTAAGTTAGTAAAAAACAGTTTCTAAGCCAGAACGTTTACTCAATACTTAACATTAAGGTTCTACAATTAGAGGCAAATATCGTATAACTATATAATAATTTGCAAAGGAAAAAAGGGTTGTCATAGCAACCTATTAGTATTCTAGTTATGTTGAAGATGGCAATCTCACTGAATGTTTTTATTGCTAGTAGTTTTTTTTTTTTTTTGAGACGGAGCCTCTAGCTATCCCCCTGGGTAGAGTGCCATGGCATCACGCTCACAGCAACCTCCAACTCCTGGGCTCAAGCGAGTCTCCTACCTCAGCCTCCCACGTAGCTGGGACTACAGGTGCCCGCCACAACGCCTGGCCATTTTTTGGTTGCAGCCATCATTGTTGTTTGACGGGCCCGGGCTGGAGATTCGAACCCGCCACCTTATGTGTATGTGGCTGGTGCCTTAGCCGCTTGAGCCACAGGCGCCGAGCCTGCTAGTAGTTTTTTAGGTGATCTGCTTGAGCTTTAAGTATATGATCCTATTATATTTAAAAATAATTTTGCCTCATCCTTCTTCATATTAATACATCTTACTTTATTCTCTTGTCTAACTGTAGAGCATTATTAAATAATGATGGCACCAGCAAGCATTTATTTTATTTCTCACTATAACAGGAATATTTCTAGTATTTAACCATTATTAAACATGATGCTGGCTGGCTTTTGGTTTGCTATGCTTACTGCTGTGTGCATATCTATTCATATTTAATCACATATCAAAGTGTTCATCTGTTTCTATACAGCTAAGAATTTTGATCAAGTCATGTTGAAATTTATTATATTACTTTTTAAACCCTGAAATTAGATTTCTTTTGATCTATAAATTTAGTAAGTTTTATAGCATTAACATTGAACTATTCTTATATTCCTGGAATCTACTTTGGTTGGTTGTACTTTTTATTGTAGCACTGGATTGTATCTGCTAATATTGTTTAAATGTTTTCATTTAAATTCATTTCATCCCAGTTTTGAAAGGTCACAAGAAAATAGCAGTATATCACAAAGTATACAGCAATGGTAGTTAATAATATTATAGCAACGTACATCACTATTCGAAAAGTGTATCTTCTGGCCAGGTGAGGTGGCACACACCTGTAATCCTAGCCAAGGGAAGCCAAGGCTGGTGGATGCTTGAGACCAGCTTGAGCAAGAGTGATACCCCTACTGAAAATAGAAAATTAGCCTGATATTGTGTAGTCCAACTACTTAGGAAGCTGAGGTGTAAGGATCACTTGAGCCCAAGAGTTTAAGGTTGCCGTGAGCTATGATGATACCATGGCACTCAATCCCATAGCAGTGGAGTAAGACTGTCTCAAAAAAAAGTGTTCCTTCTACCTACTTTGAATATTTGTTAAGAAATGCCCCAAACCTAAAAAGAAAAAATACAAAGAGAGGACCAAGTCATTCTTCAACATTCAGACCTATTCTGAAACCAATGTTATCTTGACTCTTCCAAGATTTAACTTGTAGTTAGCCAAAGTTAAGACACTATTTTTTTTTTTTTAAGACAGAGCCTCAAGCTGTCCCCCCTGGGTAGAGTACCGTGACATCACAGCTCACAGCAACCTCCAACTTCTGGGCTCAAGTGATTCTCCTGCCTCCACCTCCCAAATAGCTGGGACCACAGGCATCTACCACAACGCCTGGCTATTTTTTGGTTGCAGCTGTCACTGTTGTTTGGTGGGCCCGAGCTGGATTCAAACCCACCACCTTAGGTGCATGTGGCTGGTGCCTTAGCCACAGGGGCTGAGCCAGAACATCTCTTCTTTTTTTTTTTTTGAGACAGAGCCTCAAGCTATCCCCCTGGGTAGAGTGCTGCAGTGTCACAGCCCACAGCAAACTCCAACTCCTGGGCTCAAGAGAGTCTCCTGCCTCAGCCTCCCAAGTGGCTGGGACCATAGGTGCCCGCCACAACGCCCAGCTTTTTTGGTTGCAGCCGTCGTTGTTTTGGTGGGCCAGGGCTGGATTTGAACCCACCACCTTAGGTGTATGTGGCTGGCGGCTTAGCCACTTGAGCCACAGGGGCCAAGTCAGAACACCTCTTCTTGATCTTTCCCTATCATATCATTCTCTGTGATACCTTGCTTAAAAGATCTTATACTTACCTTTTTCTTGTTAATAGACATATATATATACACTAATTAACTGATTTATAATCCCATATTCTAGCTGGTTCAGTGAATTTGATGTTAATATTGTTCTACTAAATTTTTTTTTTTGAGACAGAGTCTTATTGCATTGCCCTTAGAGTGCTCTGACTTTAATAACCTCAAACTCTTGGGATCCTCTTGTCTCAGCTTCCCAAGTAGCTAGGACTACAGGTGCCCACCACAACATGTGGCTATGCTTTAGAGATGGAGGACTCGCTCTTGCTCAGGCTGGTATCCAAATCCTGAGCTCAGGCAATCCACCTACCTCAGCCCCCCAGAGGGCTAGGATTACAGGCGTGAGACAACATGCCTGGCCTTACTAATGTTTTCAAAATGAGAACAGAAAAAGGTTGCCCCTGTGTTTTTATTTCTTTATATTTTTTTTGCAGTTTTGGCTGGGGCCGGGCTTGAACCCACCACCACCATATGTGACCAGTGCCCTGCTCCTTGAGCCACAGGTGCCACCCATAATGTTTTTGTTTTTGAAGAACTCTTCACAATAAGAGAAGGCCAGCTAGATTGGGCATGAAATGGTTCAGAGAGATAAGTGGCAAGTGGGTCACAGTACAAAAATGAACATGTCTTTGAGACAGAAACTGGTGAGAAAGGAGAAAATAGCTGCTAATTCCTTATATTAGAATGTTGAGGAGATAGCATGAAAGTATATGAAAGTAATATGAAAGTATACAGAGTCTGTATCTAAATATACCTAGATTCAAATCCTAGTTCTGCAACTCTATTTGTTCCACAAAGGTACGCCCAGTTGCTACCATATGCCCCAAACTATTCTATGTATGGGGGATCAAGCAGTGACAAGATTTCTACCCTTTAAGGTTTACAGTATCATGGCAAGACAGAAAACAAACAACAGAAATATCAGAGCATGTGCAGGACATTTAATCTCAGTCTTAGCTTCATTTTTTTTTTTTTAAATAGGGATCACAAAATATCTAACTCAACAGTTGTCATGATGATTAAATGACATTATGAAGGTAAAATGCTTTGCAAAATGATGCTCACTAAATATCAGTTCTCTACCCCTAACTCCATGCTGGAGGGTTCCAGGTGGGGCTGTGAGCGGCCAAAGGGCCTCAAACTTTTTGCATCTGCAGCAGATAAGAGAGCCCACAAGGCATGTATTCATTAAAAGAATGCCATATTTGCTACTGGGCATTTGCCCCACTTTATATGATAAAAGGTAAGAAGACCTAGACTAGTAAGGAGACTCAGCAATATTATCAGGAAAATGACCAAGAAGACATTATTATTATTATTATCAGTAAATGCCTGGCCACATTTTATTTCATTATTTAATAATATTTTCTGACCCCTTAAAATGTACTCACCTATATAGTCAAAAGATATTTTAACAAGTATACAGTCAAAAGATATTTTGACAAGGGTGCCAGGACCATTCAATGGGGAAAGGATAGCCTGTTCAACAAATAGTGCTAGAAAAACTGAGTATCCAGATGCAAAAGAATTGAACAGTATATACAAAAATTAACTCAAGAAAAGAACAAAGTCCCAAATGTAAGACCTAAAACTAAAAAACTCTCAAACAAAACACAGGGCAAAAACGTCACAACATGGATTTGGCAATGGTTTCTTAGATATAACACAAATGGTACAAGTAACAAAAGGAAAAATAAATTTGACTTCATGAAAGTTAAATTTTACGTATCAAAAGATATTATCAATGAGGTAAAAAGATAAGGCACAGAATGGGAGAAAATATTTGTAAATCACACATCTGATAAAGGATTAATACAAAAAATACAAAGAGAACTCCTAAAACTCAACAATAAAAATATCAAGGCTCGGCGCCTGTGGCTCAAGTGGCTAAGGCGCCAGCCACATACACCTAAGGTTGTAGGTTTGAATCCAGTCCGGACCCACCAGAACAACAATGATGGCTGCAACCAAAAAATAGCCAGGCATTGTGGCGGGTGCCTGTGGTCCCAGCTACTCAGCAGGCTGAGGCAGGAGACTTGCTTGAGCCCAGGAGTTGGAGGTTGCTGTGAGCTGTGATGTAGTGGCATTCTACCCAGGGGGACAGCTTGAGGCTCTTGTCTAAAAAAAAAAAAAAAAAAAAAAAAAACCCAAAAAACTAGCTCAGCACCCCATAGCACAGTGGTTATGGAGCCAGCCACATACACTGAAGTTGGTGGGTTCAAACTCGGCCTGGGCCAGCTAACCAACAATGACAACTGCAACAAAAAATAGCCAGGCGTTGTGGCAGGTGACTATAGTCCTAGTTACTTGGGAGGCCAGAGAATCGCTTGAACCCAAGAGTTTGAGGTTGCTGTGAGCTGGGACGTCACAGCACTCTATTGAGGGTGACATAGTAAAATTCTGTCTCAAAAAAAAAAAAATCAAAAAACTCAATTAAAAAATGGACAAAATGGGCTCGGTGCCTGTGGCTCAAGTGGCTAAGATGCCAGCCACATACACCTAAGGTGGCGGGTTTGAATCCAGCCTGGGCCCGCCAAACAACCATTTGACGGCTGCAACCAAAAAACAGCCGGGTATT